CTCACTGGTACCCACTTTCCCCTCACATCAAGGCACCACCTTCAGTACGATAGAACCGCCACGTTTTTATTAAGTGCATCGATGGTGAAGCCTACCAACTTGTTCAATGAGGATCCGAAAATCGAGGCAGGTGATGTAGCCCGCTCGTTGGGGATCGAAAGCCGCGAACATGCGCGACCAGCAGCGAAGGAGGCTCCACATCGGTTGGAATTCAGACTCTATCAACCGTCCCGTGTACCGGTCGTTGCGCATTGCAATCAACGCACGACACGCATCAGTTGACACCTGAACATAGCACAAAAAGTACGAACGAAATGCCATTTCAGTGATGAGTAATTTGAGAGCAACTCCATTAACTGATGCTCTGGGTCTCAAAGATACCATTGTAATTGACATCAGCCGCATTCATAATAAGTTTGGACACTGGACAATTTGACTGGAGTGCTACCAGCTCTTCATAACAAAAATAAATGATACAGCGATAAGAATCTCTGCCATTCAGGTTGTGCTCAAACATGAGATCAACAAAAGTTTCCACAGTTTCCAACAGGGGTAAATAGCTATGCTATGTTGCGTACCACGGCGATAACTGATATACTTCAAAGTGGTAATAAAACCGTAAAATGTTGGAATGATTTGGGATAGAAGTAGGGAAAAATTTGGCCTTTTTGGACGTATGTATCATGCTTAAAACTGGAAAAGCGATCCAAGTCAAAATTTGTTGACTTCCTGCGAGCAGAGATTCGCTGATTCAGACATGCTTGGTTTTTGGTAAAAGTATAACTTTAACGCCTTAAAAGTGCCTTTGACACAGTTGCGTGATTTTGTTTTTGATTTCGCTTGATTGCTGATGAACTGAAACACTCCACCTAGGTGCAATGCTGGACAATTACTTTACTGGCTAGAATTGTCTTGATGGAATCAGAAAGATGGTGATCCGGTTGCATGATTAGCAGATGTGACTGTCAAGTTGTACACTTTTCCCGGTCTGTTATCAAGGGGATTGATTCAAATAATAATAAGTGGAGAGAACTGCAATACTCCTTTTAGAATTTGAAATTAAATATGTTGTGAAGCAATAGCGGTTATTATGAGATAGTTGTGTGGGTCTGGTGAATAAAGAACGAGAGATTGGTAACTATGTGAAATGAAAAAGAAGTCATTCTGGTGAGAAGTGTTGTTGAATTGCAAAGATGTGGCAAGAATTTGGTTCCAACTGCATAAACTGACCATGGTATAGGGTAAGCGATGGTCTTCTTTGAGCAGGGTATTGAGTATCGAGTCCAACTGAAAGGCATCCACGGCCATAGAATCCCCGCCAGCCTCGTAGAAGAGTCTACGAATTCGGGGAAGAATCGTGTCGAACTGGGGATCCGGATCCGACAGAGCCTGAGGCAAAATGCTTCCGGCGTCGATTCGCCCCAACGCGCATCTTTACCATGAAAATGTCAAAAGTGGCAAATAATTCAAGCTTCAAAAATAAAACTATCAAAGCAATTCCTTGAAGTATTTTAATACTGGCCGATATAATGCAGAGGCTCTTAGCAGTCTGTAGGCGAATCCAAAAAGACCAAGGCTGCTTTCAGTCAAAGGCACTTTGTGATAAAAGGAAGTACCAATTCAAATTCAGGAACCCGATTGGTATGTTGAGCACAGTTGGAAGATGGGATTCGTAGTTTGGAATAGAGATACGACCTTCTCCACTTATGATGCCACAAAGAAGTAATTCTTCCCAGTTCATTCAAGAATTATTGAAATTTCTTGATTTCTCTTCGATGGACAGAACAAGTTTCAATGAATAACACCAAAACACCTTGCTAACCATAGATGGAGGCGCAAGGAATGACTTTCCAATGGAAGCGAACTGAGTAATTAAAGTATCCGCTCTGATATACGTTTGACACCAACCCAAACATTGCATACCTAGAGGTGATAAAAAGGCCTAGTAACGTCGTGAAGGCAAGTGAAATCAAGCCGTCCAAGTGATTAGTTACGGTAAGGCGATTTCTTACAGAACGGAACATCACGTGCAATATGCTAGGCAGTTTAAGTGGGCTCGGATTCATCCAGCAGCATTCTCAGACCCAGTCTTCTTGCTGCCTTCCGATATGATTTGAAGTTTGAATAATGCGTGCAACGTTAGTACTGATGGTTTGATGCAGCCTCCTAAACATCTACAGAATGCACATTGAGAAAACTCAATCGTCTTCATTTCTGTGCATGTTGGTGATCACAGACCAAAGATGCAACGTTAGATGCCCTTTGGTACACTCTTCCAGGTGGAGACGCTTGCAGCGTTCTCGACGGCTAAAGTGGATTTAAATGCGATCAGCGAACTCTTTCAGGTTTAACTCACTTTTTGAAAACTGTTTGTTTTAATGTTTTGGTTATTTTTTTCCACTCTAAAAATGCAAGTTTATACTGAGCGCATCCACCTCAACATTACTTCCTCAAACATTTTTCACTTTAATCCTCTATTCTTCTGGATTATGGTAGGAGCAAGGTACGTGGTACACTTAACTTCAACCTTAATTAAGTTCAAAGCATAAAAATTCTTTATTGAATGAAAACGAGCTAAGTTGCCACAAATTTTGCTTCACAACACCCCTTAAAAAATTGGAAGAAGACTTGCATACTTCACGTAGTATCGTGGTGCAATAATATCCCCTTCCTTGGAATGCAACCACGCCGAGTCTGAGCTTTCTCTCTGGCGGCTCAAAAAAGGCTGGGTATGCTGACGGGTGCAAGCACCTGAGGCGCCTTAGAGGAGGCCCGTAATGGCACTGACTGAGGTATGTAAATGTTTGCCCAATAGAGTGGCAATGTGCATAGAATGCAGAGCTCACACTAGTTAACAACAGTCATGATTAATAGATTACATTTATGAGGTTCAAAATCCACACTATAATTCTTGAGAATTGAGATTATCAAATCCCCCACCTCATTATATCAATCGTTGAGTTTCAGCCTTGCCATTGTCTGATCTGCACTTGATATTCGCTTCATCTCTTAGGCCAGGAAATGAACGTATCTTATACTTTAAGCAATGAAAAGTAGATTTTTGCGTCCCGTAACAAATTTGATTCTAGACATGCGCATTTCGATTGCAGAGAGTTGCAGGGAAGTGAGGCGATGTGCTTCCTTGCAGAATTTGCAATATTAACCAAGCTCAGAAGGCGTCTTTTAAGAGGATCATCGATCTCGCAATACCCGGCAGAATCCGTGTTTCCTTACCTATATAAAAGAAGAAAGTTTGGAAGAAAAGTGGCTTCACCTAACTTGACTACTGAATGCGGTTGTCTGTTCAGTGAGAGTGACACGAGTACAGAGGCCAAAGTTAGTTATTACATCCATCACAGAGGAGTTGATAGAGGGTGCTGCCTCTTTACTAAAAGCATATGTGGAAGAGTCGAAGCGAAATTTGCATTCCAGCCTTTGAGACTTCAACATGAAGTTGATATACATTATGATATAGTTTGCAAGAAAAAATATTTGCACAGTAAACTATCTGTCACCACTTTTAAGTTCCGGTAGCAGTGATTGAAAAATCGCTAGCTATTTTCATTATATAGAGGCACAACTTCTGTTAACTGGAATCTGAGTTGCAATTCCTTTGGGCTGAAAACTGCAATCGTGGACTCAACAAATAAGAGCGGTGAAAAATGTAATGTTGCCTCCAAATCGAAGAAATTAATGCATTTGAAGGGAACTTAAATTATGGCACAATTTGTGCCAGATGTGAACAGGTTGAGTGAATTGGTTCCATAACGCGCATTTCCAGACTCTGCTTCAAGACTGTTTCTAATGTTCACAGGTGACCACCATTTCTGCTTCCAACTTTGACTGATGCATAGCTGGTGAGATAGGAAATGACCCAAGACACCAGACCACACATAAACCAAACGCAGGGATATCTAAGCGCTCTCTCCTCCCCAGTAGCCTCGAAAATCTTATTCAAAGTTTCAGCTCTATGGATTGTTTTTGCTTGTTTCCCGTGGCGTTAAATGTATCCCTTCCAAGGGTAATGCAACGCCTTGGTTGATGTCGTGGGTGAAGAGGTGTGAACAGTGGATTGGCCAATGGAGAGAGTTTTAGCTACGCCGCTTCTGAGACTAACCCAATAACCTGCCAGTCGAACCCTCACGTCTAGTGGCATTGGTAAAAGTTCACAATGGGATTATTATCAGCTCAACTCTAAGCATATTACTGCGTACCTGCAAAGTTAGGGTAATTCGGAGGGAATTTCAGCGTTAATTGCGGAAGCCTGCTGCAATTCATCTGATGAGAGTCGTGATCTGTTAACAATTGGTGCAATAGAAGGTCATAACTAAAAAAATTGGTCATGGAATATAGTGCGTGCAACCCCACCTAAGGAAAAGGCAATGCATAAAGGCTAAGGAAATGGCGATGACAGACAGCAATAAACGCAAGAGCAGCATCATTTTAGTGTAGCAGCGCTGTTTTACAGAAAATGTGCTTCTTATGAGCACTGCTTGGTTAATTTTTGATGATTGAGTTAGTCTTGCCTAACATAATTTACCTTATTATATCAAGCAGAATTGCCATGCCATTGCCATGACTTCTGGAATGAGAATTAAACTACTTAAACCTTCTCCTTGAGTGCAGGCTAATTTAATAAAAAAGATGCGTAGAAATATGAAAATATTTTGCTGCTTTAAACCGTCCAGTTGAATCATATATTCTGCCAGAACATCCAAAATGGAGCAGCTTTTCTTTTTTTGCCCGTAAATTGAACTCATTGATTGGCAAGTAATTTCCTTCTTAAGTGGAAAAACATTACATGTTTACCCATGAACTCCGAAAATGCTCTCAAACTCTATGTGTGCAAACGTAAAATGTACATTTGATAAAAACATTTGCTTGACACAAAGCTGACATGAAAACGCCCACCCATATAGGTCTGCCAATAAGCACAATTCCCCGCTTCCACCCTCATCAGGCCATCAGCACCTTCAGCAACTCTAATACGTAAGCTGCTTTATCCCCAACTTGGCCATTTCTACGCCCGTTGAGTGGACTAGTGTCTGGGCTATACCGGCAGTCCCAAGCCCTAGCGGATGTGTAATATGCAGATATAATGTTCGTGCATGATGTCTTTTTTGTCGTTATAGAAGTCCCTGGGCTCTCTCTGCACAGCATTAATGAGGTATAACCTTTCAATGATATGGGTTTCTGTTATTTTTGCACTACAAAACTTTCTGTATGCTGCAAAAAAACGTTTTGTCTTCTCATCTAAAGGGCGCTTTACTGTTTTTTCATGATAATCATAGAAAATGTACACCTCGCATCCGCCTTCCAACTAACATCATAGGGATAAACGTCAGAGAAGCTCAAGGAGGCAGCTTCACAATACCGCAATGCACGAATAAATTCAAACAACAGGTTCTATAATCAAGCGCCATTTGTTCAACTCATCCATATGGCATCGCGTACACCTCAAAACACTGACCCATACAAACATCATCCGCTTCTTCCTTTCCCACCACTTCACCTTAAGCATACAAAGTTAAAGCAGTATTTAAGTCGAGGATCAAGCCTTGCGAAAGCGGAGCAGATGATGGCGCATCCAGCACTTAAAAGGCGAGCACTTACTCAAGCGTTCGATCAGACTGCTCAAAGAGAACTCGAAGGAGAAATTCTCCAGGTTGATCAGCAGCGTACGTGCAAGGCACGAGAAGATACACACCAGGAACCAGTCGAAACCTTTTGACAACCTCTCTGGAGTCATAGAAATAGTCCACACTCGCGACGTGACTTGTAGTTTCAAAGAAATGCCGTGTCATTGGGGGAGATGCTCCTGGAGGAAGCTGAAATGTATTGTAAATGCAAGGTTAATATTGACAATTTGTTTTTGATAAAACGTTTGTTGTATGGATGGAACTAAGGGAACACTACAAAAAATACGCTTGTTAAATCCTATTCCCTCCATTTTAAAAAGCAAAATTAAAATCAGAACTTCGTATATTGCCAGCACCAAACTGGAAGCATTCGTGTTAATTAGGAAAAGGTGATTTGGAAATCTGAAACTGTGGGGTACGCCAAACTTTTAAGCCCCCAAATGCAACGGTGCGCTATCTGCCTTTGAACTAAGCAGATATGGTACAAGTGATGTGGGCAAAACTACAAAGACAACCCTGCAATAATGTATCACATAGAAGTTCATTATGAGATTTAAAAAATAATACCGAAGAAATACAAACGTATGCATATTTACATGCTACACATGTGATAAAATAGACTTACTTTCGTCTACACTCACAAATGCATAATGGATGCAGTCATTTGAGACGGAGTTGTAGGAAAACAAAAAAACGAAATTTAAGGAAGAGAGGGGGGAGGTGTGAAGTGAATCAGGCGGATGTGTTGATAGTAAACAGACCCTACCATCAGGTAGACGCCACGCCCAAAAG